CTCCCGGGGGTTCCCTTTGTTGAGGTTTTGGGGACGAAATGGGTGCCAACACAACTCGGTAAATTTTGGTGAATAATTTTTTCTTTTAAAAAATTTTTGGGAGTGTGTTTATCAATTTTTTTTCTCTTCTTTTTTTTGATATAGCATGGGGGCGCCTGTTTTTTTCAACGTCCTCAGCCCGGGAGTGCTTCCCAGGGGTTGAGGAAACCCCCTCTCCTGGGGTTTAAAAGGTTTTTAAAGATGCAGTTTAAAGGGGGTTTGGGGTGCACCAACTGTTTCGACAAAAGCATTCCTCCTTTATTCACTTGTTTTGTCTCAACCCCCAAAGCCCCAGTGTGTTTTTTTTTCCCTTTTCCCGCCTGAAAAGAATGGGCAGGGATTAACCCATTGCAAATTTCTTTTTTTTTTAACTATAGCTGAAAATTTCATTTTGTGTTACGTTTAAACTACTAAGGAAGAAAGAACTAAAATTTTTTTTTGCATAGTACAGGGCTACCATTCGTAAAACAAATTTTAAAAATTTTAAAAGGGAAATTTGGGAAAAAAAGGTGTTAAAAATGGGTTTGGGTTTTCTATAGATGATTTTTGAACAAATGACACCCAAATTTGTGTTGATTTCATTTAAATTTTTAAAAAAAACATTAAATTCTTTGCTTAGGTGGCAATTGTAACAGGGGATCTGGGGGCAAACCCTGTTGAATTGCATCCACCCCGTGTTCAAAGAGGCCCAAAGGTTTGTGGGGATAGCGGATTTTTTTAAATTTTTTTCTGTTATAGAAAAGGGGGACATAAAGGGAAATTTATTGATAGGGAAATTTTTAGTTTTTGGGTCTCCCGCATTTACTTTTTGGAAAAAAAAGGGTTTTTGAAGTTTTAAAACAAAATACATTAAATTTTTAAAGGGGGTATTAACCACCCTTTTAAAAATGAGTAACTATTTTGGGTATGAAATAAGTAAAAAAGTATAAAAAATTTAATATATAAACAAAAAATTGACTATCAAATTTTTTAATAAAAAAGTGGTTTTTTAAACTAAGGAAGGTGGGTCCCTTGGTTGTTGTATTCTAATTTATATGTTTTTTAAAAAAAGTTGTTTAACTAAGACATCCAGGAAAAAGGGCTAAACAAAGATTTACATCATTTAATAAATTTTTGCTTTTATTGAATCCTCTCCAAAACTGAAAAGGCATTGATAATTGATAAACAATATAAAAAGGGTAATACAATATTCAATTAAATATTTTATAAAAAGGTTTTTAAATAAATAAATGGATTTAAAAGGGAAAAAATTTGGGTTTTAAATTTTTGGGAAATTTAAAAAAAAATTTTGGGAAAAAAGTAGGTCATTTTTGATATTTAGGGACTCATGTTTAAAACCCGGCTTTATATTTTTAAGGCTTTTAAAAAAAAGAAAAAATGTTATTGAAATTTAAAATTTGGGCTTAAAAATTTGGGAAATTTTCAAATTTTTTCAGTTTTGGAATGCTTTTTAAAATACAGTTTAAATTTTGGGGTTTTAAAATGATAGGAAATTTCATTTCTCATGTGGCCTTATATAAAAAAAAAGGGGCCAAAAGGGTTGATAAAAAACAACTCCAAAAAATAGCAGTTTATAATACAAAAGGGGGGCATGGGAAACTGTCATAAAGTGTAGGGTCAAAACATTAACCAATCAACAGGGTTTTTCTCCATATGAAACTCCCCCCCACAGGACGGATGTTCCAGCCTGCTACCCGAATTCCCGGGATGGAAAGGGTTTAAACTTGCACATTTAATTTATAAAGATTTCTTTAAAGAGTTAAAAAGGTCCTGGCAGCAGAATTTACAAAATACCAGACGTCCAGGAACGTCCAGGTCGGGATCAGTTCGGGGAATCGACTGGGTGCGCCTGATGGTCATCAAAAGAAAGTGGTCTGAACCTCGCTTCGCCAGACCATACCGAGTCGTGGAGAGTACATCTCAGGCTGTCCGTCTACAAGAGAGAAGGAGACACGTGGTTCCATTGGAGTCAGCTGAGGAGCCACAACGCATGCTGCAGGGCATACAGGAGAATCTACAGTCTCAACCTGCGGTCGAGGAGTGTCTGAGGGCCATCACAGCGCGGAGGAGGATCTGCATTTCCGGGCAGAAGTCTGCCAAAACCACTTCATTTTCCTGAATTACAAGGCTTAAAAGGCCCAGACAGGCACAATAATCCTGTTCCGGTGTCCTTCCATTGAGAAAAGGAGATTGCACCCTCTCCTTAAACTCACTGTTAAATTGGCATAATACTCCAATTTTCAGTGAGCAACGGACACTCAGGTGGAAAAACCTGAGGTTTACAACCGAGGAGGAACACGTGAAGGATCCAGCTACAAGATCATCATTAACTTATCTTCTTTTTATTGCGTGTTTTCGTTTTTTGCGAACTCTTCAAGAACATTCGTTTCTTTTTGCGCGTATTTTTGGATCGTTTCCTGACGAAGAATTCATATTCATTTTTGAAAGACTATCGAAGGAGCATAGAGACGAACTCTAACTTCTTATTATTGAATTGTGAAAAAAAAAAAAAAAAAAACTATTTTGTAATTTTTATGTGTTTATGCTATTTTGTAATTTTTATGTGTTTATGATGTATTTCTTGATGTTGTTATTGTTTTTTATTGACAAATTGTAGTTTTTGTGGTGAATATAGTCTTTTAAGTCTGCTGAGCATTTTTTAGTAATTTTGAGATATCTTACTTTTATTTTTTATTTTTTATTTCATATTCTGGGCTGATATTCCTATTGTGTGTTTGCTTCTCTTTCAGATAACTGAGTTTTATGATTTTTCATATTTGATAAGTGAAATGTATTTTTAGTTTAGTTTTTACTGGTTAAAATTTTGTGGTTCATCAGGTGAGTATTAAATTGTTGGACAGCGCAAGATACATTTGATAAGTTTAGATTATGGAGTTCAGCTTTAGACACATGGCCTGGCAGGGGACCTAGGAGGTGCTGTTTAAAAAAGGGGACTGTTATAAAATTGGGCTAATGTTTTAGTTTTTTAGTATACTAAATAATTTTTTGGTTCCTCTATTAGAAGGCTTAATCATTTTATTTGTGAGGTCTGTATGTCTCAGACCTCAAAACGGGGACTGTTAAAGAAAAATGATTATTTTTTAGACTTTATTACAGTTAATCTTATGGCATGTGTAAACACTCTCACTTGAACATATTTCTTAATTTTGAACAAGGCTGTGTTAATGATTTAAAACTACTAATGGGTAAGTATTCAAAGCACAGGAGGCCCCCCGCATTCCACAAGCTGTCTGTGAGAGCTTATCTTGTGTTTTATGACTTTAGGAATTCTAGATGCCAGGACAAGCTTTCCGCCTTTTCTTGTTAAAACAAAGAAGCAAATGACCCCAGATGTTTGCAGTAAATAAGGGGAAGCCCTAGCAGTGTCAGAGATGGCGTTTGGTTGGAGGACCGAGGGCCAGCCCTTTTTGAATGGATTAGATACAAGAGGATAAAGCTTTCTAAATAGAAGAAAAAGATCAGATTTGCCCTTGCAACTCTCCAAAGATGTCTCTGTACTCTTTGCTTTCTTTCCTCCTATGTCAGGTAATGGAATGTATGTCTCTGTTGTTCTGCAGTTTCTGGTGTAGGTTTGTGCATTGTCTTATTTCTAAAGTGTATGCATTGTCTTATATTGGATTAAAGTCTGTAATTCTGTGACGTCAACACGCAATGTTGGTTTTATTACCAAACGCAGCTCACCGAGTGGACCTGGGGAAGGGAAGAATCAGAAGCCAATCTTTTTCCAAAGTTAACTATGTTAGAATATTTTCTTCCTTTACAGTATGTATTGAAATGGAATTTCAAATGGAAAAAATTATAAAAAAAAAAAAAAAAAAAACATTTGCACCTTAAAGACTACTTTCCTATTTTTCTTTTAATTACTCATAAAAAAGACCATTCAAGCAGCACATTTTTCCTGATGTTTTTGAGAATATACTGTAGGGGTGAAAGCTGCAGCTGCTACTAGTGTGAAGTGAATGGACAGCAACAAAGCATTAAAGCAACAATGGGGAAATCTGTCCCCTCAATGCTAATATAAACCCTGGTTGGATAAGGATTCAAAACTGGATATGAAGATGAAATATGACGCACAGTTTCAGAGTTACAACTGATAAAATAATTGCTGTCTGTGGTTCTACAGTAGGCTATGGTGTAATTGAGCAATATATGAAAAAAAAAAAAAAAAGAACTATGAACTAGTTCATTTTTTGGTTTTGAATTATGAACTATGAACTGAACTAGTTCATTTTAAAATGTGTGAACTGAACTTTGAACTGGTTCACGTAGAACCAACACTGTATATATATATATATATATATATATATATATATATATATATATATATATATATATATATATATATATATATATATATATATATATATATATATATATATATATATATATATATATTTAACTTGAACTTTAGTTGTAATTAATGGAAAATCTTTCACAATTGAGGGTAAAACCAATTTAATGTTCTTGGTTGAATAATCATAACTATAACCTGTTACTTACCAGGATTTTAGTGGCTGGACAAAAAGCAGAGGAAAGCTGTTGAGGTTGACATAGCAATACCAAGTGACTTCAACATCAGGAAAAAGTATCATGAAAAACTATAGAAACACTGGGGGCTCAGAGAAGGGCTGGAGAAAACCCGGAAGGTCAAGGCATCAGTGGTGCCCGTGATCATTGGGACACTCAGGGCAGTGACCCCCAAACTTGAGGAGTGAGTACAGCAGATCCCTGGAAATACATCAGGCATCTCGGTTCAGTAAAGTGCAGTTCTAGGAACAGCAAAGATACTGTGCAGAACTCTCAAGCTGCCAGGCCACTGGTAGAGGAAAAACTCCTCCTTTTTCCAAACAAACCAACTCTGTTATGTGTATAACCTTTTGACTAATTCAATTGTGTGGATTTTGGTAATTTATTAGAAGAATATCACTGACACAGTTGAACTCTTGGTGCACATGCTTTATTACAGAAATGACTATTGCACAGAAAATCTGTGCTGTTGTATTTTTTTATTATATTTTTCATGCTTTTTTATCAGTCTTGATTAGGCAGGGTTTGAGTAAAATGTTATTTCATGAAAAAGGTGAAAATACATTTTTCGGAAGCTTTAAGCTGTATGACAGAAAGAAAGAACAAATCACTAGCCAACAAAATTAAGGGTCCCCAAAAATAAACCACAATCTCTGCATTAATTTATTAACAAACAATCAGAATTTAGCAAACACTGACCAGCTACCAAATTGTCTTGATCTACATATATTCAAATGATGTTTGGTATTGCACCTCGACATAGGTGGGTTTAGCTTTGCAACTTTCAGTTGTCTTGTATTGTAATCTTTCCTTAACCCAATTTGAAGGCAGCTTCCACTTAAAGTAGAGAATTAATGTAATCATTCAAGGTTCTCTCCAGGGCAAGATCAGCTGACAAAAGCCATCATGGCACTGTCAAAGGATTGGTAATACTGTAGTCAGCTGCAGTGGAACTGCAAAAGAAATACATTGTTAAACAACCTTTTCCTTAAAGCTGTAAATTCATAAAAAAGGATAGGTCAAAACATTTACCTGGAAACAGAAATCTCTCTGTTTTTGATCTTCAGTTTTGCATCAGATTGTTGTTGAACCTCCTCATAATCTCTTGGCTTTAAAGCTAAATCAAAATGACACATGTAATATTAAAAGGTTTATATGAATGATCATAACATATTACAAATATCCTAGAAGTGACAACAATACACATTTTCTAAATGTTCATAGACTGAAGAAAAAAAATAAAACATTTTACTGACCTAAAATTCCTTCAGTGTTGTTGGCAAATGGCTTCTGCCGCAAAACAGGCCACAAAAATGTGTTGCCATTCTTCTCATGAACATAGATGACTAAACGCACGTCCTCTACTGCAACATCAATTTCTTTGTCACGCTGGATCACTGTAAAGCTAGAAAACAAATTTGAAATAAACTTCAAAAACAGTTTATTACCAACACACTTATGCTGCTGGGTATAAAGTTACATGCATATACTTTTCTAAGAGGCATTTATGATGCTTTTTTTTATCATGGCAGGTGCAACAAAAATACCTATAAAGATGATGTTCATTAGGTCCTGTACTTTCAAGTTAGCGTAATTCAGAAGCTATATAAAATGAGTGTGAAATGAATATGAAATTAGGTTCTTCTGTTTTTAGGAGGATGAATGAATAAAAAAAAAAGAGGGTCACCTTCCAACTGTGATGGGATCCTGTCCAATGTAGCGCGTTGTTGACTGACCCTGTTGAATGTTGATTACCTCCGTATTAACCTCAACATGCTGGTCAGCATTGAGGTGAATAGCAATCATACTAAAGCCTCCATTTTTAATTGAATCCAGCTGACCATTTACATACAGCTCTAATTCCAAGGATATCAAATAAAGATTATTTCAACAGGGAAACATATGAGACTTTCATTGAGAGGCATTTTTGGTTTAAATTGCCCAAACAGAATTGTTACTGACCCTTGTTGGGGTGGTGAAGAGGTTTAAGAATGACAGCTCCAATGACATTGAAGCAAAGTGGAAGAGACGTATTTTCAGTCTTCAGCAACAATCTGTGAGAAACACGAACTAGCAACAGACAAGTTTGTGTAAAAGCTCTAATTTTGTGGAAAGCCCCAACATAAAAAAATCTCAACATGCCTGTAAAAGCCTAAACATATCCTGTATTACTACACAGGCCTAAGCAGAGACTGAGTACTTGAATTATCCCTAGAGATTATGAAAAGTCATACTGTACATCAATTAGATTACGGATACACTTATCATTACATTTATCTTTTATGTTATCACTTTTTTCTCAGAATTTTGAGATTAAAGTTAGAATTCTGACTTTTCCTATGAAAGAGGATTAGAGGTGTTGGATGTTTTGGTAAGTAGCTACACTCCTTTACTTTAAGGTCATTCAAACAAACCTTCTGTTTGAGGAAAACTGTCTATTTTGAGTTTAAAAACCCTCCCTGTATTTTTCTTTACCTTCTTGTAGCTAGGGCAATCTTTTGTCTAACCAGAACAGAAAGCACACTGGCTATAAAAACTGCATTTGGTCTCCCTTGCAAGGATGAATAAGCACTGCTTAAATGAAGAACACCAATCTCATTTCTTGTTAATATATTACTTAGACCTTTTTTGATGACAGCATACTACTTGGATAGTTTCTCTATGAAGAGGGAAAGAAGAGAGAGACCATGATTTCCAGCCAATTATATGAGAATACACCTCCCCATTAAATAGGAGAGAGAGAGCAGAAGGTTACAGGCTACTTAATTGTCTGAACTATCCAATTGAAAAGGGTCTGTCCCCAGGACCTGGGAGGTTAAGAAGCAACCCTCCCCTTACCTCTACGCCTATACCTCAGAAGACGGTGGACTGTGTAAACCAGGTCCCCATCAATGAATCTTGCAGGTGGAGGTGACCTAGAATTGGGCACAAACCTGGAGGTTGTTACAGGTCTAACCCAAGATACATGAAAGGTGGGGTGGATCCTTAAACAACGAGGGAGGTGGAGGTGGACAGCCACCAGTTTTACCACCTTGGCAATAGGGAATAGCCCAACAAAGCGCAGAACCAGCTTCTTGCTGTGGACCTCAAGAGGCAGATCCTTAGTGGAAAACCAAACTCTGTAACCCACCATGTAAGAGGATGCCGCAACCCTCTGGCGGTTGGCAGCCTTAGCTTGACCAACCAGGGCTTTAGAGATGGCCCTTCTGGCTCTTCTCCAAGCCCACTGGCACCTAAGAGCAGAAAGGTGGATGGAATAAAACCTGACATGATGAACACCTGTGGCTTAAAACGAAAAACAACATAAAACGGAGAGAGTTCAGTGGTGCTAGAGGGAGCTGAGTTAATGGCATGTTCGACCCAGGGGATTTGGCTGGCCCACTTGGTGGGATCAGCCTCACAGAGGATGCAGATCTTAGTTTCAACCTCCTGGTCGGCCCTCTCTGTCAGACCATCCGTTTGGGGGTGAAAACCTGATGAGAGACTGACAGAGACCCCTAACAAAGAACAGAACTCCCTTCAGAACCGGGAGATAAACTGGGGACCCCTGTCAGAGACAATGTCAGTGGGGAGACCATGGAGCCGAAAAACCTTATGGTCCAGGACCTCCCCCATTTCCTTAGCTGGGAAGTTTTTTGGTAGAGGGACCAAATGCACCATCTTAGAGAATGATAGTGAGGATGACAATGTTACCATCAGAGAAAGGCAACCCTTTAACAAAGTTCATGGCAATGTGGGACCAAGGCAGGGGTGGAATGGGCAAAGACTGGAGAAAAGCAGAGGAAGGCATTTTGGATGATTTGGATTGGTTACACTGAGGGCAGGCTGCCACAATCTCTCGCACATCTACAGACAGGGCCACCAAAACTGAGAATGAACAATGTGAATAGTCTTAGTAATACCAGGATAACAGAACAAAACAATTACAGAACTCAATGACATTCCCTCTCAGAGCATTAGGAACAAAACAGACGATCAGACCAACAATCATTGGGAAAGTTGGTTGAGAAGGTCTAACCTCCCGCTCAATGTTAACCACGGAGACAGCACATCTCAGAGATTCAGGCAAGACACTCTCCTCAGCCCCACTGAGACTATCCCTGTCCACCTCAAACACCCTGGACAAAGCATTGGGTTTGCTATTCTTAGACCCAGGTCTGTAAGACAGAGAGAAATTGAATGTACCTAAAAACAGTGTCCACCCAGCATGTCTAGGATTAAGTCTCTTGGCTGACTTAAGGTACTCCAGATTTGTATAGTCTGTCCAAACCAGAAACGGAATACTGGAACCCTCCAGCCACTGTCTCCACTACTAAAAAGCCAGTTTGACTGCCAGCAACTCTATATCCCCGACATCATAGTTCTGCTCAGCTGCTGACAGTTTCTTGGAAAAGAAAGCACAAAGGTGGATCCTCTCATCCTCAGCCTCCCGACTGAGCACCGCCCTGACACCGGTACTAGAAGCATCTACCTTGACAATAAATTGCATCTTGGGGTCGGGGACACCAGAACTGGAGACAAGGTGAAGCCCTGGGCCTCTGAAAACCTTGATCCACCAGATTGGACCAGCAAAACTTGAGCTTGGATGATGTGACGGCATGAAGGGGCCCTGCCACCTGACTGTAGTTCCTAATGAACCAGTGGTAAAAATGGGCAAATCCCAAAAACCTCTTAAGCTGCTTCCGACCAATTGGTTACACCCCGCAACTCCAAGGGGTCCATGGAGTTCTGGTCAGGTGAGACAACAAAGCCCATGAAAGAGATAGTGCTCACGTGAAACTCACACCTCTCTGCCTTGACGAATAACTGGTTCTGGAGAAGGCGAAGCAACACTGATCACTGATCGAGTCTGAAGAGTAAATGAAAATGTCATTAATGTAAACAAAGAGAAAATGACCCCCATGTCCCTAAGACCCTCACAACCATGTTCTGAAAAACCACTGGTGCATTTGTGAGCCCAAAAGCCATCACCAGATATTCATAGTGATCATTCGGGGTGTTGAAAGAGGTCCTCTACGCATCACCCTCCCTAAACACACCAGGTGATATGCATTGTGGAGATCCAGCTTGGCGAAATCCCTGAGCTCCCTTAATCTGATTAAATGCTGAGTTAATCAGTTTAATAGGATACCAATTATTAACGGTAATATCTGTGAGGCCCCTGTTATCAATGCAAGGCCTGAGGGATCCGTTGTTCTTGCCCACAAAAAAAAAAGAGCCTGCTCCAGCAGGGGCAGAGGAGGGATTGATGATGCCAGCCCTAAGTGACTCAGAAATGTATTTCTCCATAACCTACCCCTAAGGGGATGTGATACCTGGCAGTACATCAATCCCACAGCAAAAAGGTCCATGGGTAGGTAGGGCTGTGGCCCTGCCCTTATTGAACACCTGTCAAAGATCATGGTACTCCTCGGGGACCTTAGTAAGATCCTGATAAAACTCTGGATCAACAGAGTACCCCAAAATTTTGGACTTAGCCGATCATAAACAGGAACCCGAACAAGCAATGGACCAACCCAAAACTTCAACCCTTTGCCAGTCAATATGCGGGTTTTGCTTAGTTAGCCAGGTAGAACCCAATATAACAGGAATCTGAGGTGAATCATTGATAAGAAAAACTAAAAGTTCAACATGGTTCCCTCCCCACCAACAGCTCAACAAGTTTCGTCATAGGAGATTTCTGGTTGAGCTGATGTCCATTTAAGGCTAGTCACAGGAAAGAGTCACAGGAAGCAGAACTTCTGGGGAGGCAGAAAGCCTGGCCCGGCTCAGCAGGATCCTCCCCCTTCCTAGAGAGCCTGATCCTCTTACCTTTTCCCTGCTTCAATAACCCCATTGAATCATCTCTGCTGGGTACAATGAGGCTGAAGACATGGACCAGCTCCTCAGAAAAATCCTCATAGGATTCGCACAGAGAGGAGTTATTCTGCCATTCCAACGTTCCCCATAAGTTCGCCCCGCCCGCTAACAGCGAGATAAGCCAGCTTTGCCCGATCAGATGGAAATGAGGAGGGCTACTGCTCGAAGTGGATTTCACATCGAGTTAGAAAAGCTCTGCACTGCTCCGTATCAGCCATATACAATTATGGAGTACACAGACGTGGTACTTGACAGTCAGAGACAGCAGGCGGAGGCGTAGACATCGGCATGGCTCTGTGGGAAAGATCAGAGGCAGCTGAAGTTGTCTAAAGCTTGCGGTGGGTGGAGCTCCGAGAGCTCCAGGTGATTAGCGGAACTGATGATAACTGACGCCAAGAAGCAACAGTGGGAATATCGAGAGCCGAAGTCAAAGAAGAACCAAGAGCTGACAAGAAAGGGAATCCAAGCCGAGGTCAGAAATACAGTCCAAGTTCGGTAAGCCGGTAGAATCCAGGAATCAGTCCAGAACAGATCAAACTAACAGAGTGGATGAGTCAAAGCAACACACAAGATCCACAAGACAGAAAACAGGTCACAATCAAATAAAATCGTAACAGAACAATAATCAGAACGCTAGAGTTACTCTCACCAAACAGCTTTAATAATGTGGCACTGGTGACTGGAAAACAAGCAGCATATATAGGAGCTGGAAACCAGTGGATCAGATAAACATTAATGAGAAACTGAACGTATTTAAACAGGTGAATGGAATGAGCAATCAAGCCAGCCACCAGTGCCAGGATCATGAGAGTAGCAGGAGTATGATTGCAAAAGCAGTGACAGGCCAAACCGTTATGAAGTTGCAGTGACAATACAAATGGATTAGTCAATGTAAGCCACACTGTCCGAATACTTTAGTTTTGGCACGATTGTATCCTTTGTACTCGAAACTGTATCTGCACTTCAAGCAAGGCACTCATCATTGAGGGTTTATAGAGTGTGGTGCAAGTATTGGAACTGGGCCTATGTTTGTTGAAGGGAGTGTAGGTGTTTACTTACATGTGAGCACATGTAAATTAGCATGAGTCAGAAACCTTGTTGGTACTCCTTGGTAAAATGGAAAGGGAGGCAATTCCATAGGTAGACTCACCATAACAAGTTCAACAAAATATACAAAATTTAACTACTCACATTCGCCCGACGATAGACTG